ACACGGACAAGACGAAGGAGATGATAGTAGACATGAGGAAGGAGAGGAGAACTCATCGGCCACTGCTCACACCGGGGCTCGAAGTGGAGAGGGTGAGCAGCTTCAAATACCTGGGCGTCCACATCAGTGAGGACCTCACTTGGACACTTAACACCACACAGCTGGTCAAGAAGGCCCAACAGCAGCTGTACTTGCTGAGGAGGCTGGTGAGGTTTGACATGTCGCCTAGGATCCTTTGCAACTTCTACAGCTGCATCATTGAGAGCATCTTGACCAGCTGCATCACTGTCTGGTATGGCAGAACTACTGCTAAGGACCGCAAGTGCCTGCAGAGAGTGGTAAAGACTGTGGAGAAGATCACCAGGACTCCACCTCCTCTCTGCAGAGCATTCACCACCGCAGGGTGCGTAGAAAAGCTGCCTCCATCCTCAAAGATCCCACCCACCCCCAGCACGGACTATTCGCCTCCCTACCCTCTGGCCGGAGGTTCAGAAGTGTGAAATGCAGGACCACTACACTGAAAAACTCTTTCTTTCCCTCTGACTCCTAAACAGCTGAGGAGTATATTACCAGGAAATACGTCATCTACTGTTTACATTCTCAGTTTGCACATGCATAATTGCACATTGACTGTTGACTGCTGCACATGCTGCTCCCATGCAGGATACATTCTCTTATTATATTCTTATATATTTTTATTATATTGCTGCATTTGCTGCTTAAAGTGCCCTAGATTTTGTGTTGCTTGTTTATCTACTTTATATTTCATTTGTATTTTTGTGGCATTCATGTGGACGGCAAAGTAAGAATTTCATTGTACAGGGAAACACATTTCCTAACTGTGCATATGACAAATAAACACTTTGGAGACTTTGGAGAGAGGGAAGTCTGGGCATCTTTGCTTAGACTGCTGTCCCCGCGACCCGGTTCCGGATAAGCGGGAGAAAATGGATGGATGGATGGGTTATGGACACCGGACTAAAACTGATTACAGTGCCATCCAGATCATCTCAAGTGTGGTCAGGGGATTCTGATCCAGTTCTGAATGCTTGCATTTATACATGGACAGATCATATCTGTGATGTGAAAAAGGGATCGTAGTGCCCACATATCCATAAATGATTTGCATTTGCTGGTCTTTTTTTTTTCTTTTATGGTTGTGTTAACAAAATGGCAAATCAAACACAAACATAAAAAAATGCTTGACACCGCCACTGACTTGTGCACAGTCCTTACCACTCTGTGTCCTCTGTGTGTTCACTTAACATCCAGTATGTGGTTTCAGTTTGGTCTTTTTATTTATTGCAGGTTCATATTATTTAACATGTACATTTTGTATTTTGACACTTGAAATAGACCCTCTGTTAATTAAGAACACTGTTCTTGTAGTTGCCACTGTACTTGTATTTTTTTAAGTCATTTTATTGACATTAGAGCGGTATATTGTCACTCCCTCCATACAATGTAGGCAGTTTCTCCTTCCACTCATCAGTCTGTTAGAGAGAGCTGAGCTGCATGGAAATGGATGGGTGGAGGACTGTGTACTACTTTCTCGTGACACCTCAGTTAAATGGGTCACCAGCCCACCCAGTGCTTTCATAAATCCTCAGTATTATGGTCCCATCCTATCCATGGCTGCAACATTAATTTCCCTGTACTGTTCACATAAAGCAGCCACTTATAATAATTGCTGTGATTATAGATGTAACTTTCTTGTGCAGTCGGTAAAGAAACTGTAAAACTAATAGATGTTGTGAGTGAAGCCATGTGCTCTGGTTTACTGACAAGCGCAGACAGAGCACCAAACAGTACAAGAGAGGTGTGGGCTTGGCTTTCACCTTGACTTAGACTAAAGACTACTCTGCACATCCTCAGATTAAATATCAAGTGTGCAATAAATCAACTCTCTGTTTTTCAGACAACAAACTCACATTGTGCATAGAGGGAGGTGAAGGTGTGTTTGTCAGTGCACACCTCCAGAGAGACAACAGATGAACTTCACATCATTACATTCAGACACAAAGACATTTCTGGGATCACCAAAACAACAGGCAACAACATGCAAAATATGCAGCTTATGAAAGATAAACAAATGTAACTGTTTCATTTCTGTGTTTTCAAGTACATTTAAAAAAGTAATAAACATTTTTATTTACATTTTATTTTTGGTGATGGGTGAGTCAAATACAAATTTCAGGTTTTAGACCTGACTCAGTAGACAAGACTTAATATAACTTTAACTTGCAAAGCAAATAGAATGCTTCTTATTTGATAATAATCACTTTTATTTGGTCAAGTATGTTGCACACAAGGAATTTGTTTCCAGTACAGTACAGAACCAAGGCAGCCATCTGCAGCGCCAACTCACACCAATGGCTATAACCATTGGGGGCAACTCGGGGGTTCAGTGTCTTGCCCAAGGACACTTTGACATGTGGACTGCAGGCACCATAATTCGAATCTTCAGCCCTTCGGTTGGAAGATGACTGCTCTACCCAGTGAACCACAGTCGCCCCATTTGAGCATTAACATAAGACCTTAGTGTAACTTACAATTTTGCTTGTACAGAACAACTTTGCCTACAGTTATATTTTGATAATGCCCAGTGCCTTATTATTGGAAATTGTAAGTGTTGTAAACTTTACATGATGCTTTACTTTCTAAAGTGTATGCATCCATAATTTATAGTAATCAGTAATTTGTGGAGAAATTATTCACAATCTGTATGTCAGTCTGTTTGTCTAAAATTTTCTTCACAGGATGTGACTAGCCCTGTCTGTGTCTATGTGTCCAGGGGGAAACTACCGTGGTGTGTTTGCACTGGGTCTGGTTCAGGGTGAATGGAAGATGTATGTGAAGGGGCCGCTGGACAGGGAGGAACTCAACCTCTACATCATCAATGTCACTGCTAGCGATGGACTCTTTGTTTCCCAGGCAACAGTGGAGGTGACAGTGACAGACACTAATGATAACAGTCCCATCTGTGACCAGGTGAGGAATAAAACCATGTGTTGCTCTTTTTAAAGGATAAATGCAACCACTGTGACAAAAATGTAGCTGTTTTATTTCATTTAATTTCATTCCATTGACTTTTTCTCTTAATCTCTTTGCTCTGTGTGCATGTACTATCTGCAGGCTGTGTACACTGCTTCCATTCCTGAAGACCTCCCAGTCAACAGTGTACTACTGAGGGTTGGAGCTACAGATGCAGATGTGGGTATCAGTGCCTGGATCCAGTACTCCTTACATGGCCCTGGATCCCAGGACTTCAGCATGGACCCAGACACTGGTATGGACATAATGGCTTAGAAAACACTCCTTTACGCTACATTTCTTTTGGTGCAACACTTAGTACTTAGCCTTTTTTCACTGAACTTTAATACATTGCATCTTCAATCAATCCAGTATAGATTGAATTGCAGCAACAAAATGGGATCAGGTGACCAGTGTATTGTTTTTAACCTGTCCAGGTGAGGTCAAGTCATCTGTGATTCTGGACCGTGAGATGACACCCAACTACAGGATGGTTGCCCAGGCAACTGATGGTGGTGGGCGGTGGTGCCGTGCTGAGGTGCAGCTGGCAGTGACTGATGTGAATGACAACGCCCCCATCTTCACCCTGTCACAGTACACTGCCAGTGTCTATGAAGACACGGCCACCAAAGCACTGCTCACCCGCATTCAGGCTAGAGACCCTGATGAAGGTGAAACTACTGCTATTATTATCACACTTGCTCCTGGAGTTATCACTACTTTGCAAAATGCATCAAATTCTGCTGCACTATGTTTTTGTTATAAAAAGAAAAGCCTTCATCCAGAAAATGAACAGTGCATTAATTTAGAAAAGCAGACAAATGATGCAATTCAAAAGCAGCGTAAAATGAAAGGAGAAGCATATGCAAATACACAAAGATGAGATCAGAGTAAAAGAGAGAGAAAGCACTAGGACTGGACCCAGTTATTTGACTATTCAGATATTCATTTGTTGGGTGCAGTCTGAGTCTGATGATGAAGAAGAAAGACATGATGGAGACAGCTTGGTCTGCTAGCTGGTAGGCTACTCACATGCCTGAAAACAGTGGAGCAGATCTCCAATAAATCATCCACTCAATCAATAAATCATAAGCAAGATGTTAAAACACAAACAATCCCTCTTTACTATAGTAAGGCAAGACAGGCAACAAGTTACAACCTCATTGTCATCAAAATGAACCATTTCAATGAAATAAAGTATGTGCAGCAGCTGTGAGACCATTGCACTGAGACTGTATACACAGTCACTGAAAAGAGGTACTACAAAAATATTCAATAGCTTCACTCTTAGACACATTTTTCCAAGCTAAATGTTGTGGTCTCCAACAGGAAACCAGTGAAATATTTTTGTAGTATCTCTTCTTGGTATTGCACTTTGTAGACGGTCCCTGTGCCCTCGTTTTGTTCATTGTTGTAGGTAGTGTATGTCTGAATGAAGCCCTGAGGACCGTAATGTAAAACTGACCTATATCTGAATGACAAGCATATGTGTTTAACAGACTGATGAAGCAGCAGTGTTATGTACTATCTCACAAACACATGTTGCAGCATGATCTCAGCCATCCAACTGCATGAATGTTTGTACCAAACTTCATGACAACTACAACTAAGCCAGGACAGCCCTAGAAAGTACATAGAAGAAAAATACAAGACCAAATATTAATTGTACAAAAGCAGATAACAGCCTCCTCAAAACCTTTAGTAAGTGTGAGACTTCTCGCACAACATTCTTTATGTTGTACTTGGTTGTTGACATTAATCGACAGAAGGAGTTGTCTAAAAGAGAGAGCGGCAAAAAATAAGCCCTGCTTCCTTTCTCACCTTCACACTCCTGGTCAATCACTGCATTATTGAGTGAGATTGTCAGACTATCTGTTTCAAAAAGTTAGAAAATTTGTCAGCGGCAGCCATCACTGAAAGCAGAGTATAAGGATCCAACAAGCATTGTGTTTCAAACTTACTGAGGCCTTTAAACCTCTGATATACATACCTGACACACTTCTTCTGGCTCTGCAGCAGGTCCGGGCCGTATGGTGGTCTACTCCCTGGCAGACTCTGCAAGAGGTTCCTTCTCCATTGACAAGTCCTCAGGCATCGTGGTTCTGGAACGTGTTCTTGATCGCGAGGTCCAGTCGGCTTATCAAATAACAGTTTGTGCTTCTGACCAGGGTTCACCGCTGCCTCTCTCCTCACTGATTAACATCACCATCACTGTGCTGGACATCAATGACAACCCACCTGTGTTTGAGCGCCGTGACCAGCTGGCAACAGTGCCGGAGGATGTGGGAGTAGGAACTGAGGTTCTGAGAGTTAATGCTGCCAGCAAGGACATTGGGACCAATGCTGAGATCACTTACAGTATCCGATCAGGCAACGAGCATGGAAAGTTTCACATCCACCCATTGACTGGTGAGTGTGCTAACCACCCCTGCTTCACTGTTGTATGGTCACATATGTGAACACTGCAAGCTGTCCACTCAAGAATGAACTCTGTTGCGCAGTGACATGTGAATTCCATTCAAGTCCCACAGGAGATCCCTACTGAGATATTTCAGGCATTAAAAAACATTTTAGCCACAGTGGGTGCAGAGGTAAGACTATGATCAATGCCCATATAAAGTGCCTTGCAAAAGTATTCGGCCCCCTTGAACTTTGCGACCTTTTGCCACATTTCAGGCTTCAAACATAAAGATATAAAACTGTAATTTTTTGTGAAGAATCAACAACAAGTGGGACACAATCATGAAGTGGAACGAAATTTATTGGATATTTCAAACTTTTTTAACAAATAAAAAACTGAAAAACTGGGCGTGCAAAATTATTCAGCCCCCTTAAGTTAATACTTGGTAGCGCCACCTTTTGCTGCGATTACAGCTGTAAGTCGCTTGGGGTATGTCTCTATCAGTTTTGCACATCGAGAGACTGAAATTTTTGCCCATGCCTCCTTGCAAAACAGCTCGAGCTCAGTGAGATTGGATGGAGAGCGTTTGTGAACAGCAGTTGTCAGTTCTTTCCACAGATTCTCGATTGGATTCAGGTCTGGACTTTGACTTGACCATTCTAACACCTGGATATGTTTATTTGTATTTATTAGTCATTTAGGTCAACATTGGATCATTCAGAGATCCTCACTGAACTTCTGGAGAGAGTTTGCTGCACTGAAAGTAAAGGGGCTGAATAATTTTGCACGCCCAATTTTTCAGTTTTTTATTTGTTAAAAAAGTTTGAAATATCCAATAAATTTCGTTCCACTTCATGATTGTGTCCCACTTGTTGTTGATTCTTCACAAAAAAATTACAGTTTTATATCTTTATGTTTGAAGCCTGAAAGGTGGCAAAAGGGCGCAAAGTTCAAGGGGGCCGAATACTTTCGCAAGGCACTGTAAATACCTGGATGCAATCAAATTTCCTTCAGTTACAGACAAGACTGAAGTTATTGCTTTTGGTAGCAAGAACGAAAGGACCGAAGTTATTGATCAGCTTGATTGTAGAACTATGAAGACAAAAACTCAAGTTACAAATCTTGGTGTCATAATTGACTCAGACCTGAACTTCACCAGTCACATCAAGGCCACAACTAAATCAGCTTTTCATCATCTCGAACAAATAGTACAACTCTGAGGTCTCATGTCCTGAGAAACTCACTGATGCTATCGTCTCCAACAGGCTGGACTGTTGTAATGGTCTTTTGTCTAGCCTTCCCCAAAAGACTGTTAGACAACTTCAGCTCGTTCAGAGAGTTTGAACCAGAACCAGGAGAATTGAGCAAATCACTCCTGTTCTTAAATCTTTACACTGGCTCCCAGTTACCTACAGAATCCAAACCCAGCAGGGCCCTGACATCCTTAGTAAGCAGTGATCTGGTTTTAATGCTTATAATATTTAATGCTGTTACTGTTTTTCTTTGCCTATGTGAAGCACTTTGAATTGCCTCTGGTTAGGAAATGTGCTCTAGAAATTAAGCTGTCTTGCTTTGATCTGAAGTCCAGTGGTGCTTTGACCAAGATTCCTGTGCTGGCCAAAAATTACAGTTTTATATCTTTATGTTTGAAGCCTGAAATGTGGCAAAAGGTCACAAAGTTCAAGGGGGCCGAATACTTTTGCAAGGCACTGTACCTGGATTCAATGTGCTCAGTTGAGCGCTTAATTCCTATGAGCCATGTGTCACCATCCATGGGGGTCGTGTTCCTTCTGGATCTACCATTAGGAGTTGCAAAAAGTTTTCAATTAGTATTAACTTTTTATAATAAATTACATGACTATGTCTAATGTGAAAGATGAGGTTCATAGTGACCAATGCACAGAAAATTACAGTATAATCACCTCTGCAGTTCCCTGTTGAATGTCTTAGCCTCTTTTACCTTGTTGTTTTGATTTTACAGTCTGTAGTTCCCATTCTTATTAACCTCATCTGGCCTCAGTTGATGGAACCTTAACCATCCAGATATTTTTTTCAGGAGCTACTGGAGCCCAAACCAGAGCTAAAGTGATCAGCATTTTTACACTGCTCCTTGCTAAGGAGATAACAGGTTTGTTAGCAAAGGAGTTCAACACATCAGTGTATGTTGGCACCCTCTGTGTCTGAACTTGGAGTCAGTTGCACTGCTGTGCCCAAATAATTTGTCACAGTTACATCCAAATTTTCACTTGGATATGCAGCAGGATGCTGCCCTGTAGAGCTTAGCTCAGGTGCTGACAGAACAGCAGAGTACATTTAAAAAACCGCTGACTTCATTTTAGCCAATTCTTTGAAAAAAATGCCCTTAGTATTGTACATAAAAGAAATGTCTGTAGTGGTCAATCCACAAGAAAAGGATGCAAGCTGTAACTGTGAGCTTGACTAATTTTTCAAGGTCAGTCTACCTTGTGCCCATAGAGTTGCTCACATAGCCGTGTGGTGGGGCCAGCGTGTTCAGGTCTGCTCTGGTACTCTTCTCATGTCAGCAGCCAGGCACAGAACTCAGTTTTGGCTTCAGTTCATTTAGGTTAGCAGTCACAAATAGTCTAAACCAAAAATACACTGTCCTGCATAGTCTCAACAAAACATTGTCCTTGGCATCATCTGAAGCTCAGTAGTGAGATCTTCAGATGTTTAGATTCTCCAAGTTGTCAGCTAGGCCCACAAAGCTTCCTTTTGTAGGTTTCAGGACTACTCGACTGTTCACCCAGCACTGCTTTGCTCATATCATCATGATATCAAAAGCTGCCTCAGCCTGCTATCTTACTATCCATTTCAGTTTGGGGGCGCCATCCAGAGCTTTCGCCTTTTTTTCTCTCTTTTCTTTCTTTCTGTTGCTCTAACCAAATGTCCTTTAAATGAGTGTAGTGACATAGCATAGGCATATCTTTATCCATCTCAGCTTCTTACTGTTCTGTAAAATATGTTTACAGTTAACTCCTCTTCTTCCAGTTCTCTGCACAGCTCATATCCTCAAATCCTGGATTCTTCTGAATCAGAAGCCATAATGCCAAGTTTACAGCTGTTGAAGTGTTTGTCCAGCTCTTAGTATTTTGTGATGTCCCTACCTGATCTGTGGCTCTCATTCCAAAGCCCAGTGGCTTCTAATGAAGATGTAAAATTTCAGTTCATAGTTTCTAGAAAAATGTAGTAATGTCTAAAACTATTGTTCCCTATAGTTTCATCAAACAGGAGAAAATAGTGCATTTGTAGATTAATTCATGTTTGATGATCTAGGAGTATTTGAGGCAGCAGGACAGTGTGTGTGGGACTGAATTAAAATAACCTACAGTGTGTGTGTTTATAATAATGAAGGAACATGCAGTGCAGCCCTGTGCAGCAGTGTGTGTCTCACTGATGTGTTGTTAAGTTTCTGGACAACAGTGGAGCTCTTTGACACAGAGAAAGAAGATATATCAGGATTTGATTTATATACATTGCTAGTTATGTTTGCTAAGGATATTTTCTGCTTTGGATATTTTCATGGGATTTAGGCACAGTAATTAAAATTTACATGGTTGCCAGATCTTTAGGTCCTTGAACACTCAACAAACACCCCCTGAATGTGTTTGGCAGCTGACCTGAAAAACATTTTCTTTACAGTCACTACATAATATTTGGAATTAAATTCTACCCTTTGTATTTGTTCAGATGCATATTTCTGTTCTCACTTTACTTTACTCAGGTGCCATTCTAGTTGCCCAGCTTCTGGACTACGAGACCTGTAGGGACTACTTCCTGACTGTGGAGGCTCGTGATGGCGGCATGCCACCACTGAGTGCCATTACTACAGTGAACATAAACTTGACAGATGTGAATGACAACGCACCCATGTTTAGCCATGACATCTACACTGCAGTGGTGTCGGAGGATGCCACCATTGGAGAGCCTGTAGTCCAGGTAGGTTCATAGCCAGAGTTGAACCTATCTTTACAAGTACTGGTGAAATCATCATGAAATTGGATGCTGGTGTTCATGGTCTTTAATATTTCTGGTTTTCTGGGGCATTGGCAACATGTAAAAGGTTCCCTTGACCAATACTTCTCCAGCAGCTGCATTCCTGTTAAAATTGGCTTGAATATTTGTGATCCCCAGAAGATATGTCATCGTGATTTTGGGGACCCTATAACTTTTTCTTCAGCACCACTAGAGTTTCCACTTTCAATATCAATATCAAAATCCAGCCTGCCATTTGCCATGGTATTTACAGAGCAAATCTTTGATTCCCAGAGAATGAACGTTCCCATTTTGGACACCCCATGAGTTTTCCTTAAATTCAAACCCAAAATATCTTTAAGGAGGCTCTAGAAAAATTATCATTGTTGTTTGTTCCACTTAATGAGTTTTTGACCTTTATGTCTTGTTAGTCAACTTATTCTTTTTTGTTTGTTTGTGCAGAACGATGGTGAGACAAGCAGCCTGTTTTTCAGTGATTGGACTGGTTCAGTAGTAGCCTTGAAATATGTGGAAAGGGAATGTGTTTATGTGAAAAACAGTTTTTATGCATGGATGCATTTTAACAGATGGTGGTATATTATACAACACATCAATGTAGAGACCATACGCTTTATGATTGACCCCATGTGAGAGTAAAATAATGGCTTTGTGCTATTCTATCATCAGCTTAATCCAGATGTTGGTAATTGCTAAGCTTCCAGTATTACTGATCTCCCAGGGTTTGATAAGGTTTACTGGTTTAAGCTTTTATTTGGTGAGCTTCACAGAGAAAACAGGTAGTAAAAATGCAAGCAGCTCTGATTTACTTTTCATTTGTTAAATTGTTAACAGAGTCATAGTTTTGCAGACTTTTATGTTTATTGATGTGCTGACTGTCTTTGTAAAAATTCAGAAATATTTCTTATAAAAGAAGGTACAGTATCATATGCCTTTTTCACACATGAATTCCATATAGTGTCTATGGAATCAGGTCCGGACTTTGCCCAGAGTAGCCCTTTCACACATGTAGCACACAACAGGACAGGAGATAGTCTGTGTCAGACACAGCCTCGCCTACTGGTAATACTCTGGTTTATGCAAGTGGATCGATTGTGCAAGAGGTAGGACATGATGCAGTCATGTAGCCAGTTTGTAATTTGGTCAAACAGTCTAATCTCATGCTATAGCGTAAATTTGTGTGACGATTCTGGTGCCAGCGCTAAATGGCAGAAGTTCCCAAATAAGGTTGTCTCCAGTTAGACATTTTTGTTGGTGTCTTCATTGTGAATTACCAGTCTTCTTCACCCTTGGGTGTTTGTATTCTTCCAGTTTTGTGTCAGTCATATGATAGAATGTTACCAACATGCCACTAGTTTGGTGTGAATAGTCGGGTCTATACACTGTTGTTTTCTCATATGGGTTCATTCAGATTTCACACAGACTTTTGGGAGCTACCAGGGTAAAGTCCATTCAGTGTTTGGGTCAGATGACTCAGACATTTGCATTCTCACATACTGCTCCTCCAGGTAATGTCTAGATAATTTCAGGGTTCCAGTGCATGTCTGAAAAAAGCTACATATTTGGTGTCTTATCTTTTCCATATCCCTTGACTTCTGCCTCTGTCTATTCCAACATTCAAATCCAATTCAGCATAGCAAAAGGTCAGAAGAGACTTCTATATATTAGAAAAATTGTTAGACTATGTGAAAGAGTAGACACATTTTTTAAAATTGCTTTAAATGTCCAAATGAAAGCTGACCATTGACAGTGCTGCTTCCATTACCCAACAAAATTTATTATATAAAACAAGTTGTTGATTGACTGATATGGTGATAATGAATAACCTGTTAAATTAGCCACTTATTAGAAAATATTGTCAAAAAAGCTTTTGGATGAGCTTAGAATATAATCAAATGTGTCAATGTTTTCATTAATGAGATATTAAATTAAACAGCAGGTATTATTTAATGAGGCCACTATACTGTATGCTGTTGTAAGCAGGTGTGAGTAATGAGAAGCAGGTGAAACCAATATGGGTGATGGGATATAGTTCCTGGGAGTCAGGGTGAGCTGGGGACAGGAAGTAGTGTCAAAATAAAAACATGAGACCGGAAGCAGTGGGCCAGATTCATGACAGTCTTCAATGCCTTTTACAGTAATAACTCAAATAATGTAATAATGCTCAGAGTGAGTGTACAGTATGTATTCTGTTAAGAAAATATTAAGACAAAATGTGTACAAATGATAAAGTCTTGTCGATGGTAATTCTTATTTGGTAATGCAAAACATTTTTTCATTTATTTGAGGACAGATCATATCAGTGTTTTTACATGCAGCTGTCCATTTATGTCTGCCTGTATCATGGGTTCACCTGTGTCCAGTCAGCTATGGCCAGCCTGTACATGTAAGTGTCCCCTGTAACCAGTGATGACGGTTCATTGCCCCAACACTGATTTTTCAGCCTTTCCAAGTAGCTCCTCTTTGCTACTCTGATCTCCTTTGTCAGTGTGTTTCTGGTCATACAGAGTCCTGTCCCTACTCCTGTAGGCCTCCAGTTTGAGCTCCACTGTGGACCAAGGTTTATTGTTTGTTATATGTGCAGAGAGCCTTAATGGGCATAAACATGTCCTCACAGAAGCTGACATATGATGTCACAGTGTCAGTATACTCATCCAGGTCTGTAGCTTCGGCCTCAAGAACACCTAGTTTGTAAAGTCAAAGCAGGCCTGTAGCTTTGACTTTGCCTCTTCAGTCCATCTTTTCACCTTTTTGACCACAGGCTTTGCAGCTTTGAGTTTTGGCCTATAAGTGGGAATGAGGTGGATCATGCAGTGGTCTGAAAGCCCAAGAGCTGCACAGGGAACAGAGCGACAGGCCTCCTTAATTACAGTATAGCAACAATCCTGTGTGTTTTTGTCCCTGGTGGGACAATTGACATGTTGTCTGTATTTGGGCAATTCGTGAGTTCGGTTTGCTCTGTTAAAAGATAATGAGCAGGGAATCTGGGTGTTTCTGTTTTGTGCTTATTATCCATTTGGCTAGGAGCTGCAACACTGTTTTGACATAGGCCTGTGATGAAATATAAATACCAACTAGGATAAACAAGGAAATTCTCTAGGAGAATAAAATGGTTTACAGTTTATGAATAATGCCTCTAAGTCCATATTACAAGTTCTCTCCAGCACTGTTACATCCTTACACCAACCTCCATTAATGTAAAAGCAGATGCTTCCTCCTCTCTTTTTTCCAGATAGTTCCTTCACACAGTATGCTCTGTAGCAGTGGGCCAGATTCATGACAGTCTTCAATGCCTTTTACAGTAATAACTCAAATAATGTAATAATGCTCAGAGTGAGTGTACAGTATGTATTCTGTTAAGAAAATATTAAGACAAAATGTGTACAAATGATAAAGTCTTGTCGATGGTAATTCTTATTTGGTAATGCAAAACATTTTTTCATTTATTTGAGGACAGATCATATCAGTGTTTTTACATGCAGCTGTCCATTTATGTCTGCCTGTATCATGGGTTCACCTGTGTCCAGTCAGCTATGGCCAGCCTGTACATGTAAGTGTCCCCTGTAACCAGTGATGACGGTTCATTGCCCCAACACTGATTTTTCAGCCTTTCCAAGTAGCTCCTCTTTGCTACTCTGATCTCCTTTGTCAGTGTGTTTCTGGTCATACAGAGTCCTGTCCCTACTCCTGTAGGCCTCCAGTTTGAGCTCCACTGTGGACCAAGGTTTATTGTTTGTTATATGTGCAGAGAGCCTTAATGGGCATAAACATGTCCTCACAGAAGCTGACATATGATGTCACAGTGTCAGTATACTCATCCAGGTCTGTAGCTTCGGCCTCAAGAACACCTAGTTTGTAAAGTCAAAGCAGGCCTGTAGCTTTGACTTTGCCTCTTCAGTCCATCTTTTCACCTTTTTGACCACAGGCTTTGCAGCTTTGAGTTTTGGCCTATAAGTGGGAATGAGGTGGATCATGCAGTGGTCTGAAAGCCCAAGAGCTGCACAGGGAACAGAGCGACAGGCCTCCTTAATTACAGTATAGCAACAATCCTGTGTGTTTTTGTCCCTGGTGGGACAATTGACATGTTGTCTGTATTTGGGCAATTCGTGAGTTCGGTTTGCTCTGTTAAAAGATAATGAGCAGGGAATCTGGGTGTTTCTGTTTTGTGCTTATTATCCATTTGGCTAGGAGCTGCAACACTGTTTTGACATAGGCCTGTGATGAAATATAAATACCAACTAGGATAAACAAGGAAATTCTCTAGGAGAATAAAATGGTTTACAGTTTATGAATAATGCCTCTAAGTCCATATTACAAGTTCTCTCCAGCACTGTTACATCCTTACACCAACCTCCATTAATGTAAAAGCAGATGCTTCCTCCTCTCTTTTTTCCAGATAGTTCCTTCACACAGTATGCTCTGTAAATCTGAAATCCCAGCAGCTGAACAGCCTCCTCAGGGATCGAGTCATTAAGCCACGTCTCCACAAAGCATAACGTGAAAAGTCAGAGTTAGTTCAGTTGATCAGCAGCAGTTTGTCCATTTTGTTAGCTAGAGAATGGAGAATTGCTAGATCTATGGTCCAGAGTGGCGTTCGGTACACCCGCCATCATAGCCTAATCAAGGTGCCAGCCCTCCTCCCTCTCCGGCGTCTCCTCCAAGTCCTGAAAACAGCTGCTGCTCCACCATCTAAAATGTCCAAACAGCTTCCACTATCAGTGAAAACTTGAGAAAAAATCTCCAGACTGAGCTGACGGATGTTCAGAGGCTCGTCCCTAGTAAAAGTAATGCAGGCAGGGTTGCAGAATACTGAAAACAACAGAAACAACAACAAAAGCATATGGGAGCACATGACTGAGGCAGACTTGGTTGGGTAGAGCAGTTGTCTCCCAACCAGAAGGTTGAAGGTTTGAATCTTGGTGCCTGCAGTCCATGTTGAAGTGTCCTTGGGCAAGACACTGAACCCCCAAGTTGCCCCCGATAGTTAGAGCCATCGATTGAGTTGGTGCCACAGGTGGCTGCCATTGGTTCTGTACCGGAAACAAATTCCTTGTGTGTAACATACTTGGCCAATAAAGGTGATTATCCTATTATCCTCTACAGAGGAATCATAGAGTCTGTTCTCTACTCTTCCATCACTCTCTGGTTTGGTTCAGCAACCAAACAGAGCAGGAACAGACTCCAGCGAACTGTCAGGATTACAAAAAAGATCACTGGTGTCAGCCTGCCCTCCACAAAGGACCTGTACACCTCACGAGTAAAGAGGAGGGCGGAGGAGCTCTCTGCAGACCCCTCACATCCTGGACACAAACTGTTTGAAACCCTTCCCTCTGGCTGGTGATACAGAACCCTGTATGCCAAAACAACTAGACACAAGGACAGTTTCTTCCCCTGCACCATCACTCTGATGATCAGTTATCTACAACTGAAGCAACAGGACTCAGCAACAACCACAGTGCAATAACTGTAAATAGTACAGCTACATACACCAGTCTGATAGCTTGAAATGTGTATATATGTATATAATGTTTATGAATACTGCCTGTCCTCCTTCTCCCACCCTTCCCCTACCCTTGAGTGCACAGTTTTTTGTCTATTGTCTGTTGCCTAAAACACATCAAGAGCCTCTGTGCTGGAGACTAATTCCTTTTATGTCCATGCTTGCCGATTAAAGCTAATTCTGATTCTGATTTTATAAAAATTAGATAAGCATCAGATCTAGGAGCTTTTAAATCATTTTTAAAGACACACCTTTTAACTCAGGCTTTTACATCATAACCAAATGGAGACACATTTGCTGTTTTTTTCAATTTCTGGCCATATTTTATTAGGTATGTGAACTCCAAAGGAGTACAGTACACCTCTTGCATTATTATTATTATTATTTAATTTTCCTCTTCCAAAATTTTGTCCCACTACTCCTTCCACAGTTTTTGACATGTGGACACCAAAGTATGTTGTGTCTTCCCACTGGGAACAGTGTGGTCTGACTTTTGGTGAGGATCCAATCTACAGTTTTTGTACAAATCCATCCATTATTTATATCGCTTATCCCTGAATAGGGTCATGGGGGGGCTTCAGCCAATCCCAGATGACACTGAGTGAGAGGCAAGGTACACCCTGGACAGGTCACCAGTCGATCACAGGGCTGGCATGTAGACAAACAACCACACACACTCACACTCACGTCTACGGGCATTTTAGAGTCACCAGTCAACCTAAGATGCAGGTCTGTGGACTGTGGGAAGAAAATAGAGTGTCTGGTGAGAACCCACACAGGCACAGGGCGAACATGCAAACTTTGCACAGGTAGGCCTGGGGTTGGCCCGGGTTCGAACCCAGAACATTCTTGATGTCAGTGCTAACTGCACCCATTCCTCTTGGTTTGTTTGTAAAAAGTCAATCTGAACGGACCACACCAGAGCTAAAAGGAAGTCATGTTTGTTTTTTTCCTTGATCCCAAACAACTAAAACATAAACACAGATATGAAAGACACCACACTGAAATGTTGCGGTGATGTGAAGTGACAGTGATAACCACTGTGCCGCCTCCACACCTCAAATTTCTTCAGTGTGTAAACTTTTTTGATCATCTGTGTGACATTAACTATGCGCCTTTATTGTCATATTGTGAAGCACTTTGGCACAACTTTTGCTGTATTTAAACGTGCTATAAGAACATTTGATTTGATTTGAATTGTTGTTACAAAGTAGCACAAATAGACAGTGGAATATAATATATGAGATTTATCTAGTTGTGAATTCACCTCTTACTTAACACTTGTGTTTCCAGAAGGGTTCTCTGTGTTAAACATATCAAAGATTGTCTGCCAGTTTCACTTGCCTCTCACTCTGAACAGTGCATTTGGTTCTGTTTGTTCATTCTTATGCAAGAATATACTGTATATGGTAAAGTTTGAATTAGGTCAAAGTCACACATGTGACAGTACATCCACAGGAACCAGTGTGCACTGACAGGCTGGCAGATGAGACATCTAAAACAGTGAAGGTCAGATCTGTACAACTTATTCAGAATTGGTAACATATGGATGAAAAATATGCTGACAAACTATGGGACAGGGACATATGGTCAAATGTGCTACTGTCCGATGCTAACTGAAACATTAACTCATTCTACATGTATGTGTGTGCGTGTGTGTGTGTGTGTGTTTGCAGCTGATAGCAGAAGATGTGGACAGTAAACTGAATGGAGCCATCCTCTACTCCATCATCAGTGGAGACCGAGACAACCAGTTCTTTATCGACCCACTCAGTGGGGTTATCAAGGTCAACAAGCAGCTGGACCGTGAGACAGTGAGGACACACACACACACACACACATGCAGCACACACACATTTCAACAGTTTAGTCTTGGGATCAGTGTACAGAAACTTTTCACAGGGCCACTACCTCACAGTCACACTTGTATCTTTTATCAGTAGAGTTATGGAGGTTTTCATTTATATTTAAACGCTAAAACTTTGAATGCTCAGTTGTGTAAATTAATCGTCATTATTCTCATCAGACATGATGTAAATGCATTGTTAAACAAATGATCTAGGCACAGACATTGGTTTTCCAGAGGGTACTGTATATTAAATAGATAATAGTTCCATTTTGGCCTTTGTGCAAATATCAGTCACATAATCTGCAGCCAGCGACGGTTGTAATTTTAACATATGGAAGCAGTATTCTGCGACAGCCTATTATCTCATTGTTGTGCATGTTTCCCCTTGTTTAAAAAAAGACTGGTTTACAAAAATAATAGAATCATTTTAGCCTTGTATCATAGTAAGTATGTAATTTTTATTATTTTGGAACTGGAACCTTCAGAACCCAATTATTTATAGTATATCACTGTGTAGTTTCTGACAAAATGCAATTGTATATACAGTATCAGCCAACCATCTTGATGCAAGCATGAACAGCCAGAGTATGTAGTGAGCTTCTGTAATGTTTGCTCTGAGTGAATACCTGCAAACTATGAGCTCTTGTGGTCATCTTTAATGTAAAAAAGGAGCCAGTTGGCGGCTGAGGAATTCACTGGGAGCTGATTTGTTGTGAAATGGGTCCCTGACCAGATGGTAGCTAATCTCACTTGAACAGGAAACACATACACAAAGCAGCTCTGAATATAAGGACTTTAATTTGGAGCAGAAAAAAAATGAAAGCCACGAGTCCCCCTGCCTGACTCCCCCTGGATGCACCCCCCTCACCCAAAGCCTTCCTTCTTCCACATCTCCTTCTCCTCCACACTGCTTGGAAACTTCAGAAATGTTCATATTCCTAGCATAAACTATTCATGAGTATGGTCGATGAGCTGTCAGATCATGCTCAGAGAGACAGTGCAGAGGCGTAAGGGGGATCAAAGCTTTTGGTAGAGAAAGTGTGTTTGGGGTTATCACATAGAAAGCAGCAGTGTGTCTGAATGTGTGTGGACATGTCTTCGTGACACTGTGTGGACTTTTTTGGCTTGTTTTCAGTGCCACCTTTGTGAGGACATTTTAGTCAGTCCTCACAACTTCAAAGGAATTTTTGAAGGTTAATACTTGGTTTTAGGGTTATGGTTAAAATTAGGTTAGGTGAGGCTCTAGTAAGACACAACTGTGTGTGTGCGCGCACGCACGTGCAGTGCTGATGTGTTTGTTGTGTCTGTGCATTTATACTGAGGTAAATGTGTGTGTGTGTTTCCATATGGGTTTTTCTGTTTTCTCTGTCACCTTTCTCTGCTAAGCAGGTCATAGTTGTTTACTGCTGAGGATTCTGTTTTTCATATGTTTCAACAGCAGAATATTGTTTTGTTGATACTGTTGCATTTCTCCTCAGTGTGCTTCATTAGCTCTTTATTATAAAGCAGTGTAGAGAAACAGAAAAATATCCTGAAGCAGGTTTAGGGAAGACTAAGCAGCATGCCAGCAGAACAAGATGTGTAAAAGTGTGTGTGTGTGTGTGTGTGTGTGTGTGTGTGCGCGCGCGCGCGCGTACACTAGAACTCAGCTCCTTCAGACAACCACATACCATAAGCACTGTGTTTGTTCTGTAATATAAAAACATCGATCCAGTGAGTCTCTGTCGTCTCAGAGAAGTGTTTGGATCAAAACCAATCATGAAGCTTTTCATCTGTCACTCAAAAAGCTTTTGTTTGACATTTACCCAAGTGACTGTGGAAACGCACTGGAAATCCAGACTTGATTAATATGTTTATGATAAGATCAACTGTAATAAATAATTATGTGGAGAAGTTAAAGTACAGATTTTCTGGGGTTTGCAGTATTAACCATGTCAAAGCCACTAGAACGTTGGAAACCTGTCTGCCGTAGATTCCTGCAGAAGGTGATTTTTGAGTCACTCAAGCAGTGGGAATAAATTGTGAACACAGAAATGGCATGTTGTCATCTTTTAAGTTAATATACAGTAGCTAAGTCAATTAGCAAACAGTTGCTTATTTCTACATCCAGCAGTAATGGAGTAACATGATAAATCATTCTGGCTGGGGCTTGTGTCCGTCTGATGAATTTAAGTCCATGTCTGTTTGTATCTCTGTTTGTGGTCTCTACCACCTCCTGAGGGACATATCTGGCATATTTAGCAGCTAAATGCTCCACTGTGTTCAGCAGCTAGTCTCTGAGTGTGCCTGTCTGCTGTTTTCAGCTGAGCAGGTAGAATACATTGGCTTTTTAGGGCCTACTCCTCTGAAAACAGCTTCCTGCTGTGACAACACTATAAAAGCATTGAGAGTGAATCAAAATAGTAAAGCTGTGGTCTGGATACTAAACAATGAGTGGAACCTATAAAGCTCTATTAAGTTGAGGAGAGCTGCAGATTCAGATGATTCTCTGGGTTCATCACTGCCAGAGACCAGTTTCACACAGGCTCATTGGTTTCACATTTTCATCTGATTGTTAATTGTTATCAGTAGTGTTTCAGGTTGACAAAACATGGCGGGGCAACAACTTTCTCCTCAACCTGCTGTTGTGCTGCTTAGTTGACTGTATATGTACTTATGTGTTGTCAGTCTGTGAAGCTTTGTTCTGCAGAGCCTAGTTTTATAATGCTGTCTAGATGACTCTTGCTCCCTTAATTTTTTCCAAACTGCTTCTTCTTTGACTGCCAGTTTTCTTGGAGATCCAACCCATGTTGAGCCTGTAATGATTTTTACCAGCAGTTTGGTTTATTACAATGTTAAATAAGAGTTTAATCTCAGCTAAGAGGAAATAACACAGCAATACTCTACTGATCCAATTAACACACGTATATAAAATGTTTGTGTCCTGTTTTGATGGGAAGAAACTGTAAAGAATTGTAATGTTGCTATTGTAAATAAGTGCCTCAAATAATTTCATATTTTAGGCTGACTTTTGATCTTTATTGAGTCAGAAAACCATAGTTCAGGTCACTTTAATCAAGAACTATATTATATTCAAAATTCTTTAGTGTGAGACTCAAAATCATATGACATAACCCCATCATAAATATTTACTGCAACTATTCATCTCAAATATTTCACATTTCCAACTAAGTCTTGTTATTCTGTTAAAAAGCAAATGTGGAAAACATTCATGTTAGAAAATACAATCCCAAATCAGAAAAAGCTGGGATGGGACATAAAATCAAGATTAAAACTGAAAATAGTGATGTGTAAATCATTTGTGTCCTGTATTACAGTAAAAACAATACAGCAGAACATTATTTGATGTGATACCTCATCAATTTTATTCTTTGACCAAAATAAACAATCACTTCAATTCTGATGCTGCAACACATTCCAAAAAAAGTTGGGACTGTTACGATAAGCTGTGTGTGAGTTGTTTAGGACCCAGTAAACTTGCAGATTCGAACCCAGGTAGAAAAGAAAACTTATTTAATGCTCCAAAAATAACAAACAAAACAGAGCCGGTCTCGTCCGCTGATCGTGGGGCAGCTGGGCACACTGGGTTGACTGGACTACTGTCTCCCGGGGTGAATGAGAGGCGTTGCTCGCTAAATCAGAACAAAAAGAGAGTGTAAGAACAAGCAGCAGGTATAGTACAGATTGTTTCTGCTAGTCACTCTGGGGACCTGAACAGCAGAGTGCGCCGCAGGCCCAGGGAGTAACCCAGGGAGAAGGAGACTGGTGCCAGAGATCTCGGGTTGGTGTGTGGGTCCCCTGATGAGGCAGCGCTGGTAGCTGAGCGGTGCGATGTAGGATGGTGGAGGCGTTGCTTGCTGAACAGCTGAGTGCGCCGCAGGCCCAGG